CCTCTCTCTCTCTCTCTCTCTCTCTCTGTTTTTTCTCTCGTTCTCTCGCTCTCTCTCTCTCTCTCTCTCTCTGCCTATCTGTCTCTCTCTCCCTCTGTTCGCTCTCTCTCTCTTTCTCTCTCTCTCTCTCTTTTTCTCTCTCTCTCACACACACAAATACAAACACAAACACACACACACACACACACACACATACACACACACTCACTCACATACACACACGCATACACACACGCCTATATAAACAGTGTAGACTCACCACGAGCACATCTTCAAATACGTACACAAACTCACACGATCGTAAATGTACACATTTATCTCTGTCGTTTGTACAGGTATATGTCTTGGACAGGTAATCAAGAGAGCAGGTTCAACTGTGTGTGTGAAATGATATTATTACAGTTGTAAATCCTTTTCCCAACAATGTTAGGTTATTTAAGAAGTAAAAGCTCTAAATCTGGCGTCCACGTCCGATAGGAACGAACCAAATGGGACATTTGTGTAAGGTGCTTTTTCCATGGACACATCGACAGACAGCTCAGAGCCTCGAACTCTCGAACCCGCACTCGTACGGTAGTGTAACCACTACGTTTCCTTAGAGTTACGAAGCTCTATCTAACATTTTTAGTCCTTTTTAGTTACATAAGACCATGAGGTAAGAAACCAAAAGCTCTATCTTTTCAATCAAAATCGTAAGATTATTCGAAGTCGTTAACATGATATTCAAATTATTGTATTCGAAAATCCTGACATTTTGTGAAACTCATTATTTTTTAACGGCAAATTTCCCAAAACAAGACACTGAGCAGATAAAACGTTGTAATTCTAGTCTAATCTCTTGATTAGCTAATCGACCTTAGGATTACAAAGTTATATCCGACATTTTTGGCAGTTTTGAGTTATTAAGCCCACGAGGTCGAAAACCAAATATTCTATCTGCTCTATCAAAAGCGTAAGATTATTCGTAGTTGTTTTATTTTCTGGACTTGACCTCAAAGGACCCCCTGATGCTGAACCGTGCAGCTTGAGCCCCAAAGCCTGGAGTCCGACCCGCAAGAATTGTGACACCTCCTCCTGTGTTCTGGAACTTTCTCTCCAGTGGCCAGTCCCAGCAGAAAGGTCAGATATGTTGTCGCTTTAAAAAAACAACAACCGTTTTCTGTTGTTTTATTTAGTATTCTCCCTTCCTATCTACCTCTCCGTCTGTTTCTCTTTGCATCTTTTTATGTATCCCCCTTTCTTCTCCTTCATATTTCTTTATTAATAAAGCTTTTCTGGTCTCTCTAGCTTTGAAAACAGAAATGTCTCTTTTTCAGCTGTGTGAATTTCAGAACCAGAAATTCAATTCTGTCTTTTAAAAGGCATAGAATGACGATCATTGTCCTAATGTAAATTTTGACTTCAGTATCGTGAGAAAAGATTAATCGAGGCATATTCCAAACTTTCGAGATCCGGAAAACCCCATTCCCCGTCCCTCTTTCCCACCTCCGTCTCCCTCCCTCCGCCCCTTTCTCCGTCCCTCTCTCTCCC